CCTTGTGACGGACGGTTGAAAAAACGTCACGTCACAGTAGATGTATACTTCCTTAGCAATAAATTAAATTAAATCAAGTTAAATTAAATAAGTGCCTTTAAGTTGCGCTATCGTGGCTATCTCAACGTCTTGAATTGATTCAAAACGTTTACGGTAAACTCTGATTATAAAGGTTTATTAGAGCGTTTAGGAAACAAAAAATGTGCGTAGAGAAAGACATGAAAAATGGACAAATGGTTTCATCCGCCATCATAACAACATTCTGTGTTGTCACACATCGCTTCTGATACGGCAATTTCTGTTAAATAAAAACATTTTAGTGTGTCCTGATTTACCGTATTTACTGGATTTGGCACTGTGTAAATTCTGGCTTTTCCCTAAAATCAAAATGACCTTGAAAGTTAAACGTTTTTGATTAAATTTAAGACATAGAGATAGCCACGACAGCACAACTAAAAGTTTATAAAAAAAGACTTCCAATACTGCTTTAGAAAGTGACAGAAACGATGGGATAAGTGTATTAGAAACAAAAAAGGGAGCATTTTGAAAGAGACTAATTGTAATTTGTCTTTTAATGTAATAAGTTTCTTTTTATTTCAACATTCACCGTATATTTTGATCACTCTCGTACATCATATGTTATACAGGGTGTCCGGTAATAACCGGATAATATCTTGTGGGCTGGTAGAACAGATTAAACTGGATTGAAAAGTCCTCTACCATTTTGCAAAATTCGCAATCGTTAACGAGATATTAATTTTTGAAGATCGGCGAATAAACGCATATCCGTCCGCCATACCGCTGAATGCAGGCGCGCGGCGAGATACAACTGTCCACCACTCGTCAACTATCGGCTAGCAACTACCAGCGGTTGGGGCGGTCGTATCTCGCCGCGCGCTTGCATTCAGCGGTAGGCGGACAGATACGCGCTTATTTGTCAATCTTCAAAAATTAATATCTCGTTAACGATTGCGAATTTTGCAAAATGATAGAGGACTTTTCGATCCAGTTTAATCTGCTCTACCAGCCCACGAGATATTATCCGGTTATTACCGGACACCCTGTATATCTGAATGCTTATTATACAGGGTGTCCCATAATAACCGCACCAGATCTCGTGGGGAAGTAGAGCAGATGAAACTGAACAGAAAATTCCTCTACTATTTTACAAAATTCGCAATCGTTAGCGATATATTAATTTTTTAAGATCGGCGAATAAACGCGTATCCGTCCGCTTACTGCTGAATGCAGGCACTCGGCGAGATACGACCGTCCCACCGCTGGTAGTTGCTAGCCGGTAGTTGACGAGCGGTGGGGCGGTCCTATCTCGCCGCGCGCCTGCATTCAGTGGTATGGTGGATGGATATGCGTTTATTCGCCGATCTTCAAAAATTAATATCTTTTTAACGATTGCGAATTTTGCAAAATGATAAAGAACTTTTCTGTTCAGTTTCATCTGCTCTATCTGCCCATAAAGTCTGGTGCGGTTATTATGGGACACCCTGTATATCTTATATTTATATGCA